TTAATTATTTGGGGTTTTGTTAGGAAAGATACTCAACAATATTTTTATATATGTTTAAATCAAAAATAAAATTACAAATTATTTTTATTACTTAAAATTATTCACATAATATATCACTATCACTATCGCTATCATCGCCTGTTCTAATTATTATTTGTTCTATATTATTTGCAATATGGATATACGATTGTTTTGCTTTTGTTTAATAGAATTTTCCCAACTTTGTGGAGGGATGTTAAAAACTTCAGTTGCTGTAAGTTTGAGGACATTGGAGTTAACACGGGGAAAAACATTGTTACAACGAATGGCAGATTTCAGTTGGTGCCAAACATGTTCAATGGGATTAAATATACAGTGGAAAAACTGTATGCCCTAGATTTTTTGCATAATTGTCACAGACGTATTCTTTTTGTAGGTTCAGGCTTTGTAGAACCTCAATTAATTGCTGTTTGGTATAATCTTTGTGAAAATAAATGTCTTTATTATACATGCATTTTTGGATTGTTGCTTTTGTGTCACATGAGGAAGGGGTTTTTTTAGTCAACTGTCTACTGTGATAACTTGCATTGTCCATTACAATTACCTATTAGGAGGAATGTTTGGAACTAGTTAGTTTTTCATAATAATCCAGAGAAGAATCTTTAATATTTTTCGTAGACATAGAAAGTCCATTTGGAACCCAACCATCTTTAGAGCCAGCATGCAAAATAGTTATTCTTTTACCTCTTTTTGATGGCGCGTTTGTTTTACACTTATCAGTTGAGTCAACCCATCCCTTTTCCGGGGTATCATAAGTATCCAACCAGGTTTCATCCAAGCAAATAATTGGCCTTTGTTGTTCTCTGTAAATCCTAATTTTTGCTAGATATTCCAGTCGCCATTTCCGAATTCCAAAAGATTCCATTAAAACTTGCCTTTTGTCAATTTTTTTAAATCTAAAATCCATGTGTTGAATACACTACCATACACTAGACTCGCACATATTTTGCATAATTCGCACACGATTGAACACACGCTGTATTACACACGAAGTAAGAGTGATTACTTATAAACTTAAACTAAGTAGTATATTAAACACAGGTAGGTATAAAATTATTTTCTATTACGGACCACAAGTTTACCTGAATTTAAATTCCGAAACTTTAGGTAATAATCTTGTTACATTGTATATTAATGACCACCCTTGGATAATCCCATTCAATAGCAATTGGTCACTTTCTTATATCTATGAACAGACCATACTTTATGTCGAAATACAAATAGTATGGGGCCTTCGTTTGATTGATTCGGTTGACCTCAATGTGACAGAATTAAAACCATAAGTTAAACTTGGAGGTACCCAGACATGAGTAGGTATTATACCTATTGGACCTATCTAACTACTTACATAATTATTTTTCTTCTGTTAAATTTTGCAGACAATATAAAAATAAACGTATCTAAATAAAAACACTTACTTTTGCTCGCTGCATCTAACTACGAGGATACTTATATTTGCCTCTTTGTTTGTTCCCGATCTACTTATCGTTTTTTTTAAACATAGATCGCCTGAATCCTCTTCATGGGCCTTCAAAATTGGCAAACTTAAAAGCACTTCCTACGAAATTAAGAGTCAATCAAATATTGCAAAGCTGAAGTTGTAATTTAATGTTTCTTGAGGGACGTCCATTAATATCAATATTATGTGGTGCGTTTGGTATGGAATCGATAAGCCTTTTCTTTAACTTTGAAGACTCAGGTGAATGGGTCGAAACTAAGGAAGTGAAATAAAGATTTTTTTCAAGCAGTGCAACATTAACGTATGACGCAAACATGAACCTCATACATACGAAATTTGACTTCCCAAATAGACCAACCTTTTTGCGCCAGAGGTTACATTGAATTGTAAAGTCAATGCCAATTATCCAGAATAGCATTTCTCTCTACCCAGCATTACATTTTATGGCCATCCTTTGATCACGAAAGATACCATTCTTAACTAATATCGCGGTAGTTAATTTAAGTAGTAGTATATTTACAGCTTCGAGTTCACTTATTACCTGGAGGCAAATTGAAATCGGACCTGCATTGAATTTTAAAAATCTGCCGGCTCGGAGGTGAGGGCGATAAATAAAAAGGTAAATTTGCGACTTTGCGAAGCCAGTTGACAAAACATCCAGTTTGTCTAGCTTGTTTATTGGCATCCCGACGAGATTTAAGCTCAGGCACTTATTGCACCGGCCGTTATTTATCACCGAACACACAAAAATCCAAGTTACCGCGATCGTTTTTGTCGAAAACCGTCGACATTCGAAATTAATGATCGGCGAGTCTAGATGTTCGTTTGTTTGTTCATTCGCGAAATTGACGTGTTATCACGACCATAAATATTAGATAAACAGAATTTATTTACATTAAGAAGACGAGAAGATTTAGTTTTATGCATAAATTTACTTAAATATTAAGTATGATGAAAGCTCTCACCTGCGGGATGGCATTACGTGCGAAATATTTTCGTTGAAAATATTTTTAAAAAATGCACAAAAGAAAAGGACCATTGGGGTAGCAAAAGTCTGTTATATACAAAATATATTGTATATATATTCATATTTTATGTTGCATTTTACGTACATCAGTCCGTCGGTATTTTTTGAAACAAGCAGACTGGATATTTGTTATATGTTTCTTATAAAAACATAAACCTTATACAACAATTTTCTTTTTTACATTTCCTCAATGAAAATGGCACACTGTCTTAGAAAAACAATTGAATAACAGCAAGTTGGTACTTGCAAATTACAAATACCAGACGGAATAGAATAAGTCCAAAGCTTCGACGGCTAGGAAACTGAGAGCATACTCCGATTTCACCAACCCCCACAAATCAACCAATAGGACCCAGTTTCCTATTAAGTGTTCCAAATTTCGGTGATTTTTGCCTTTAATGTTGGAACTGCACGCTGAGGATTGTTACGCAAAGTCTTTTTCATCCGATGCCATAAAGTTTCAATAATATTCAAGTCGGAGCTACTTGATGGCCACGATAAAACTTTCATATTATAGTCCCCAATCCACTTTTTTGTTGTTTTCGTACTATGGCAGGTCTTGTTGAAACATAAAATTTTCATTTCCCAAAAGTTCGTTCTATTGATGGAATCAAACTTCTTGATAAAGTTTGTTGGTATTTTTCTGCATTTACAGTACCATCAATGAACTCGTAGTTGCCAACCCCTTTACCACTCATACACCCCCATATCATAACACGCTGGGGAAAGTTTACCGTGCGCTTTAGACAATCTTTGTGAAAGGCTTTTGATTTTGTACGAATCGCCCTTTTTCGAAAATCGCCTACACACACAGGAAAAATTGTAAGCTTACCTTATAAAAACTCAAACCAGACTTAGGCATTCATTGTCTACAACATTCCCTGGAGACATTTAAGTTTGCTTGAATTTGTCGTAAGACGCGTCTGCTAGTTTTACAGTGATTTTACGGGGTCGGCCTGAACTTTTACCACGAACGCTAACACTAGCTGTTTCTCCATACTTTTTTATAGTATCCCCGACTGTTGATTTTGCAATACTCAAGTCATTTGAAATTTTTTGCATTGATTTACTTCTGCAGTACTGAGATATGATAATTTCTCGCACTTTTTTGTTTGTTGCAACACCACACGTCATTTTCTTATCAACTGTTATACAAACTTGAAAGGTACAACCAGAACTGACATCGCATTTATCTAAGCACACTACATTTTACCATCAATGCATGGGTAGCGTTGATTTCTTGGTCAATAAATATTCGCGTCCGAATATTTATTTGTCAGCAAATTTGGTATGTTTCCGTTATTTTGCTATGAAGTTCATGCAAAATAAAAAATAATTCAAATAAACTGATCAATTGAATATTGAATATTTTCATATGGTTCTGAATCATGGCTAGACTATCCACCATTTGCGGCCAACAAGTCCTTTGGACAAGGTATTTTGTACTAATATGGCAGGCAATTTGGAACAATTGATCGTTCAGGGAAATGTCGAATGCAAAAAACCTAGGGACAGATTCTCATCACGAAAGGAATGCAATGCAGACAGATGATTTTACTTGTACATGACGCCACAATCCTGCAGTCGTGAATATACGACTAAAAAGGCTAAGAAGCGGCCTTAGATTAGCTTAAGTACTAGCGGGAGAATTTTTTATATTTTAAGTAAGTTTGTTTGTATGGCTTTTCGTAATTCGTTACGGTGCTAAACCAGGAGAATATTGTCAGAAATATTCGATTCAACGTTCCTTAAACTGAAACAATTTCCGCGGAAGAAGTATTAATTAATGAAGGATAACGGACGTCTTCGAGGATGTAGGAAGGCCGTCGGATATCCGACCCTTTGGGGCGACAATGGCGGACGCTTTTGTCTTAAAGTCCCATGGTGGCCGGTTTGTCTATTAATTGTAAGCGCTTGATTGTCCTCAAGGACTAAATTCGCAGGGCCCTGGATTTTGCCAAGAAGTGTAATTTATTCGTCAATTGTGTTTCAATATATCAAAAATATAATACACAAAATTATAAATAATTTATGTCCACGGCAACGATATATTTTTTTGTGAAGCGGGTAGGCCCCCGGGGTCCCGATTTATTTCCATTTTCGTAACCGACGACGGTCGTTAAGCTTAAAAAATTATACAATATATAAAGTCAAAAAGCAGCCCGCGGGGTCCCGCAATAATAAGAAATAAAAACGATAATATTTCGTGCCTACTTTGTCGACCCCCGAGGCCCGCCCCCGTTAAAAGTAACGGGAGCCGAAAAGGCATTTCCGCCGATTTAAAAAATGAGATGGCTTCCGGGCGAGGTAGGCCGGGGTTCGGGGGACGGGGGGGCGCGGGCGAGAGCGCGTTTTTCATTATAATGCCCCTTTGTGAACATCAGAAACAATTTGTAAATTAAAGGCGGGAAAGGGGAGCGGGGCGGGGATCGGATCGGAAAACGGGAATCAAAAAATAAAGAAAAGACGACGAAACCTGAGATGAAATAATTTTATTCCGTTTTTATTATCTCCCCTCCGTTGTCCGTTAATCGTTTTTCATATTGCCGTCAGTTGTACTTCTTCGCCATTATGCCACAGTAGGAATACGCCGCTTTCATTATCTGGAAAAAACGAATCCCCCCCCTTCGCATTGGCTGTTCGCTCCTCACCAAAAATTAAGTTACCCTTAGCGACGACTGGAGCGTCATTTCGTCGAAAGGGCCTATGGTCAGCGCCACTGGTTTCCGTACTCTCACAATCATCATCAGCAGTATTTTCTTGACGTCCTCAGTTTGCTCGTACCACGGACTTTCGTAGATCGCGTCGCTTAGTCCGAGACTCTGGATTTGGACTTCGTTGGAACACCAACCAATGGCGAAAATGATGGTGATCAAGCGACAGGCGTAAAACGACGTGGTAAATTGGGTGGTATTTTCCGCCTGAAAAGTATGTCTATCGCGACAAACTTTCGAGAGGAATCCGACACGTACCCGCAGCAGAAGAATCAGCACCAGTCCTATGTTGAGCGAGCTGAACAGAAAGTCCATCAACATCAGGTACTTCACCGAAGAATTTAGTTTGACTCCGAACCTAAAATGATCAACTCTTACGTCTGGATTGTGGTAATGGAACTTCAAAAGAGTCGAGGTTTACAACACCAACAGGGCAAAGCAGTGCTTCGATTTCGCACTGAAGAATTCATAACTGAGAATCTTGTTTCAGACAAACAGAAAACTTGACCAGCCAGTTTTCTACTTGGAACGCTTCTGAAATTTAAACAAATGATACTGCATTCAACCTCAAAATCGAATTGAGTAAGGAGTGAACGAATTCATCTCCTTCCTATGATGAACGAGACTTACGCTGCCATTTTCGAATTCAAAAACCTACTGAAACTTCAACTCATAGGAATGATAAGGCGACCTAACCCCAATCAAGCAAAACACAGTCGCTTGTAACTGAACTGCTACTTCGATACTCCAGAAAAAAATCAAACTCATTACAGTCGACTAGGAATTTCGATTTCAGCCAAATTGGTACTACACTTGTAAACCGAGTGAACGAACTCATCTTCAAGCAAAGAAATACAAACAATTATGTAAAAGAGAATGCATTTAAATTCAAGAGCTTGACAGAGCACCACTTCGATCGCGGTTGCACAAAAATAGAGTCAGAAATGGAATAGAAAACTTACCCAGCCATATTTGTACTACTTTGAACGCTGCTACAACTGTAACTCAAGGTAATGATACTGCAGAAAAAGCAACCTTCCTGGATAAAGATTTTCCTCTCTCAGCCAAATTGGTACTTTACATGCTGGTAAGAAGTAAACAAACTCAAATTCTTAAAAAAACAGTATTAAAGTCAAGCAAAAGCATTTTTTTAAATTCATAGTTCCAGAAACACAAACTAGAAATGTTTTTCTTTCACAAAAGATATAAAAAAAAATACGTTAAATAAAAATTCACCACCATTAAGAACCTGCTTTCAAACGAAAACCTTTAAAGAATATCCTTATCGAATAAGGCGGGAAGGCAGTTGTGGTACTTACTAGTGGAGCTTTCTAAAATACCTCAAAACGACTTACAGGATCGCGTTTTGATGTTCGACGACGAGACTTCTCAAGTTTTTCAACGCATCTTCTGTCGACAACATTCTCAGCTTGATCTGCAACGTCTTGAATACAGATGAAGCGAAAACGATACACGTAATAAAAATGCACTGGGTTGAAGATCCGACAAAGAGAATCCAAGCGGTGGTGAATGCGTGCAGTATCGCCAGCAACCTTTCGTGATCCTCGGTGTTTACCTTCGCGTAGTAAAGCTCATAGACGAAGTGTTTCTCGAGACTAGCGTTGTAGGATCTGTTGTACTCTTCCACGTTGGCTCTTTGCATTGCATTCGCCATGACTGCAGACACGCTCAGACCCACGGTGATGCTGAATATGCCGAGGTTGATCCTTTCGGCAAAACGGATCTGAACCAGGTGACACCGGAACAGCTCCTGATTGTTTGACATTGCCATCCGGCGTTCTTCCTCGACGATGTAAGAGAGGATTCGTTTAAATTCGCTAGATTGACAAAGTACCGCTTTGATCGCGGTGATATAGAATGAAATCAGGTAAGCGAAGCTACCGAAAAGTAATTCGGCAGAAGACTTTTCAGCGACCAGTATGAGGAAACGTATCAGCATGGACGCGACGAACGCGGCAAAGAAAACATGAACAAATGCGGAATACAACGCGTAGAATTTTCGTACGGCGGCTCGCGAAGTGAAAGGAAGCCGCCATATTCCCGCGACGATCATGCCGTAACGCGAAAGGGCTAGGATCTGCCGGTTTTCCATGACGTAGCTGAGATAAGAGTCGATGGATCGTAACGTATGGAGTTTTTTAATAAATTAAGACATCAGCCACTCAAGCGGCAATACAAAATTTAGGAAATGACAGGGGGGACGAAAATTATAAGTTGACGCAGTGTTATTTTATTAAATATTCGCGACGCCAGGGACGGCTTGGCGCAGCATCGATAGAGCCCAAAAAAATCCAAACATGAAATAAATAGATAAAGTTTGGTGCGTTTGTTTAACTGTTCGTTTTTTCCCCTCTTTCAAATAATATAGGGTGTGTTAAAGAATATAATAAATACAAGCTGTTAAGTGAGCAATTGAAGCTGTCCAATTGAGATTGAGATTGACAATTGAGATTCCTAAAGAAATTTCTAACTAATTTTAATTAATAATTTGCAAATTTCGCGGTTAAACGATTTCTTTATTATTTACAAGAGTGCGGTCCTGAAATACGACAAGCGAAAACCTCCATGCTATAAGACACGAATTGCCCCGCCTCTGTAGTCGCGTGATTCTGTTGTTTAAATGTCTTGCCCTGTAATTAGGGAAATAAAAGGCTTTGACGTACAAAGAGCCCTCGGTTTTTTCTTTGAAACGAAATTACATGAAAACCGATGCACTTGTCGATCGCACCGCTTCCAGAAAAACCAGCGCACACGCAGGCAGTCGGTATTTGCGGTCCTTCATCTCTGCGAGTCGAGCGACACGATTCGGGGTGAGCTTTTCAGATTTAAGGCACGTAGATGGAGAGCAGGACCCCAATCCGACGTCTATTATCATTCTTCGATCATCTATTTCGTTAGAATTAGAATTTGCAATAGTCACTATTTAAACTAGGCTTAAACACGTTCCTCTATCACTTTTCACAAAACTTCTCTCTTACGGCTTATTCCCGCTAGCTGACACCAAGACCCATAAAAGCAAGAGAGCTAATAGATAGCTGGAGACCTTTAGGGACGAATTATATTTCATCCCGCCAATAATATTCAAAAAGAAGAGATCATCCTCTCGTCTCACCTTATCGCCGCCTTTCCGTGTCATTACATCTTCTTACGCGTTTTATCTCGGCAAAATTTAATTAAAAAGATCTGAAAAAGGCAATTAGCGAAAGCCCGGAGTTTCGCCGTTGCCCCCGGTGGAAAAAGAAATCCCGTTTTGTTTTCGACGACGCTTTTAAGCTCGTTTAAGGTAATTTGGTGATAATTCAGTCGGAAATAAAACTCGACAACGTTCCAAAGTCTAGGTTGAAGCGCACAGATAAATATTCACATCATAAACTCTAAAACTTTAAACAATATGAATTTTAAAACGTTTTTTCGATAAAAAAAAAGTGCTCTTAAGAGGCTCTTAAGACGGTACCGTAAATAGGCACCAAGGTGAACATTGTAACAAATGACACCCCACTCAGTGTGTTTCAAATGGAAATCCCATACATGCAAGAATTTGTGCAAAGACAAGTGGACCAATGGAATATTCACACTACCCTACTTTTTGCTCCTCGCCAATGTAATTTAGATTGCTACTATCTGTGGCTGCTTTGTCGCAGTTACAAAAAGTTTCCTCTAAATTTTACTTCTGACTTCTCTTCACTTGTATTGGGTTACTTGGAATATTTCAAAGTCATGGATCACTGGGATATAAAGGAAAACTAGGAGACAGTTGAGCACGTCTCGTGCAAGAAGGTCTGATGCCCAATATTTGCCAGAGCACCAGAGGAAAGAATCTCTTTCCAGGTTGATGAACTTCATTAGGAAAACTGACGAGCTAACTTAAAGACGCATCTGAGTCGCATACGGACTGATGGGACGTCAGCACCAAGTGTTCCTGGAGCAAGATCCGTTCATTTTCAACCGGAAAATTCTAGAATAACCTCGACGGGAAAGGTCGCGCGGTTTTATTTCCGCAGCGCTGAGATTGCGAATAAACCAACTTCGACTCTTTTATTTCGCGTAATTTTAATTTCGGAGCGTACCGTAACGATGTTTTCTTTCCAATCTCCCGATTCCGCTTTGCTAAACTAAACCCAATTACGTCAAATTACAAGGACTCCGTAATTGTGACCGGTCCTGGGGCTCGAAATCAGTTTAGGAAATTATTAATACTCGAATAGAATCCTCGCCCGTGGTTGAATAAAAAATTGAACAGGATTTCGATCTGGAAATTGCGAATTTTGTTTGCGCAAACTTCGATCAAAAGTTCAGACCTGCTCAACGTCACTTATCGCCGTATTTGACTGCTTCCAGGCGGTAGAGACAAATGCGAATATCAATCGTAAACTTACGGTAAGTTTCGCTAGCTTGGCAACGTCGCATTACGAAACTGCGCTATCGAAAAGCAACAGCGTACCAAAAACAAAATTCCGATTTCACTGAGCAGTTAAAGTGCTAAAAATAAAATAATTTATTGGCCAAACATGTATAAACAATACATTTAAAGTTGTCGGTGTGAATTTTCGAACTAAACATACCATATATAAGGGGTGTTTCTTTTTCGATGTATAGAACTTTAAGTTACAATAAAACAACGATGACATGAATTTTATTTATCCGAAAGATCATCTTGTGGCATTACAATTTAAATATGATTTCTAGCATATGACCGCCACGGCTGGCGCGGATTTGGTCCAATCTGGACGTCCAATTTTCGATGACTTTTTCCAACATTTGTGGCCATATATCGGCAATAACACGGCGAATGTTGTCTTCCAAATGGTCAAGCGTTTGTAGACCAATAGACCAATGACTTTATATAGCCGCACAGAAAGTAGTCTAGCGGTGTTAAATCACAAGATCTTGGAGGCCAATTCACATGTCCAAAACGTGAAATTAGGCGGTCACTAAATGTGCCTTTCAAGAAATCTATTGTGGCACGAGCTGTGTGACATGTTGCCCCGTCTTGTTGAAACCACATCTCCTGGACGTCATGGTTATTCAATTCAGGAATGAAAGAGTTAGTAATCATAGCTCTATACCGATCACCATTGACTCTAATGTTCTGGCCATCATCGGCGCACCAAACAGCCAGTTTTTCTGGATGTAACGGTGTTTCGACATACACTTGAGGATTAGCTTCGCTCCAAATGCGGCAGTTTTGTTTGTTGACGAAGCCATTCAACCAGAAGTGCGCTTCATCGCTAAACAAAATTCGCTTATGAAAATCGAGAACAACGGCATTCTTGTTTTGGGTCCATTCGACGAATCTACGCCTTATTTGATGATCGTTTGGCTTCTATTCTTGCACGAGTTGGATTTTGTAAGCACGTAAACCAAGATCCTTACGCAAAATCTTCCATAAAGTGGATGGACACAGATCCAATTCCTGTGCTCGATGGCGGATGGACTCATTCGGGTCTTCCTCAATGCTACGCTCTACAGCAGCAATAGCTTCTTCTGTAGGCACCGTACGGCGTCTCTGGGGATGCGAGTTATCAATAAGAGTAAACGTGGTGCGAAAACGTTCCATGGTTAATCGAATTAACTGCTCCGATGGACGATTTCGTCGACGATGAAGCAGTGCGCGATACGTATTCCGTACAGAACCATTATTTTCGAAATAAAATTGCACTATTTGCAAGCGTTGTTCAGGCGTGAGTCTATTCATGATGAATTGCCAAACCAACTGAGAATAAATCACTTGACAGCTGTTAAATAGGTCGCCATCTTGAACAGTAATGCCAACTTAAAGTTCTATACATCGAAAAAAAAACACTCATTATAACAAACCGTTTACGTATCTAAAATCTAAAATTCAGAGCTTTCGAAGTTGCATTCAAAAACATTTTATTTTTTATACAGCTTAATATCAATGAAGTTAATGGAGCATTGAGTTTTGTTTACAAGATGATAGGGATCCTTATTTTGTGCACAACACAAAGTTCGAAGAAAAGAAGACAACCTCTGATTTATTTTCATTCAATTTATTACGGTTCTACCCAAATTAAGTATTGTTGTGTTATCTGCATATAAAAAAACTATACAGAAAAGAATTGAACCCAGTATTGAGCCTTGTGGCACTCCAAGGGAAACAAATTGTGCTTCAGAAACATCACCGTTAGGTAACGTAACAATTTGTTGTCTGTTGTTAAGGTAAGATTTAGAAAAGTTCAAACTTTGAACCCTTATACCGTAATATTCAAGTTTATTTACAAGAAACTCATAGCAGACGCAATCAAAAGCCTTCGACAGTTCCAACAAGGTCATACAGGAAATAAGCTTCCTAGGTAGAATGGAATATACGATTGCCACATTAGTTTTGTACATTTACTTAACTTTACATTGATAAGTTATTATTATTTCAACACCATAAAGGATCGCTCATCCATCGGATTGAAGACGACAATGCGATCTCCGATTCGGCTGGCTGTAAATATCGCAAGTCCCTCTCCTGTGGTGGGATGTCATACAAGAGCGTTTCGTCCGCGCTCCGAGGCATCGAGTTTTTTTGTCCGTCAAGTCAAATAGAGAGGAAAGCAAACAGAAATTATCCGTTTGCATAGTCTATTCCGCCTCCAGGCACGATTGCTTTCATATTCGTTCTACTCGGCGTTCAAGTGCGCGGCTACCCAAATACGAAAAACACAGAACAGAGAAAATATTTTATGAAGTTTTGTGCTCTTAATACCGGGAACTAGATACGTAGCACGTCTCATTAGAAGAATAAAAACCTCTAAAAACTACAATGCAAGAAATAAACGAACTCTGAAATGCATTTAGTCTAATCTATTCTAAAAGATAGCTTAACCTTTAAGTCTCAAAGAGGGCAAATGTACCAAGAAACAGCTAACCAAAACTAAATATAATTAAAAATCGCCAGATATTTAAGGTAACCAAAAGTGATCATATTAAAGTATCTGTCCTAACTTGAAATGGAAGATAGACGCATATTTAATTTCGTTCTTTTCTTTTAAGAAACTTTGATGTTTTCAATTTTCAATTAGTAATTCTTTGCCGTGTCTGTGGTGCATTGGGATACAGGATGAATACAGTTTTATATTTTATAGATGAGTATTGCTTTAACGTGTACTA